CTCTTGACATGATGATGCATGTGAAAAGTATATTTAGAGAGAGAGAGAGAGAGAGAGAGAGAGAGAGAGAGAGAGAGAGAGAGAGAGAGGTCACAGCCTATATTTGGAGAGCGAGCGAGCGAGAGAGAGAGAGAGAGAGAGAGAGAGAGAGAGAGAGAGAGAGAGAGAGGTCACAGCCGGCCGCCACTGAGGGGTGCTGGCGATGCGAGTGGGTGCTATTCTGTAATGGGATTGTATCTGTTTGATAGGGGTGATCTGGTGGGTCTCCTAATGAGTCAGTGATAACTCAATTGGAATAGTCTGGCACAGAATGCTTACTTTTGAAGGGCGTGTTTGATTCTGAACTAGCCTCACAAAACGTGGCGGGACTGGATCATCGCGAGGGGTGTGTGTGTGTGTGTGTATGTGTGTGTGTGTGTGTGTGTGTGTGTGTGTGAGAGAGAGAGAGGATGGCTGGGAAAGGGGGCGGGGGGAGTAGGTGGGAAGGGCCAGAGTGCATTATTGAAGGAATTTTTAAGGCTCATGGTCAACCAGTCTGTTTAAGTGTGTGTTTATTGGTCACTCCCTCTTTTTCCCATTACGTCGCGGTCGCTCAGGAGCGCTCGCAGGGAGGATTGGGATCCAACGGGAGTATGCACGTCGTTATTCTCTGGACTGTATGTCGGAGACAGAAGGGACACAATCCCAGTTTATGTTCAGTACCCAGTTTGTCTTCAGTAAGTGGCTTCGGCTATGTGTTGTTAGCAATTTACGGGTTCCAGCGTCGAATTGTGATTTCGGCCTCACTTTTTTCACGTGCGGGAGTAGGATGTCGTTTCTTATGGGAGTGAGGAGAGATGGCGGGTGTTTTTACTGTTATAAATACGGGATCCGTGTGGGAGGTTTGCAGCCTCTTAACGCTACCGATCTAGGCGCGATTTTTTTTTTTTTTTTTGTTTTTTTTTGTAGTTTCATAGCGTTTTGCCGATCTAGGTACGTGATTCCCCCCCCAAAAAAAAAAAAAGTATTAGGTACGTGAACACTTTCTAAAACTGGGTTGTGATATGAACCTTTTTTATATTGATATTTATTCAATTGAATTGTAATATTAACCTTTTATTGTTGTTTCTATTTGTAACAACAACTGATAGGTAAGATAAGAGGGATAGGTTTCCTGGACTCTGCTTCGATTTAGCCCAAGGGTGAATTCCCCAACAAGCCAGGCGGGCAAACCGAAATAGGATTGGCGATGATACCCCTTTTTCGAGTCTGGAAATTTTAAGACTACCCCCGCTGTGGGCCTGGCCGTTCTTACATGAACAAGTCAATCGATGGCTCAGCTCTGTGAAGGGTATCCACGGAAGCTCGTCTTTTGTCTCGAGGGCATCTGCGGGAAAGGCCCTCTTGCTGATGGGCCTCTGTTAGCGAGCCTGCATGACAGTGTTTTTTTTTTTTTTTTTTTTAAGCTTTTTTTCTTTTTTTTTTAAGCTTGACAATGCTTGACAATGTTCGAAAGAATGGCCTCTTCTTTTCGATCAATTGAAATCAGTTGCAGAAGTCGCGGCCGTGTGGTTTTCAACTAAACATAACCGGTGGATTGCTTTTGCTCTCGACTCGGTTCCTACTGTTTGTAGTACTTTGTACCATTCTGGATTCGGGTCACCTTCTTCAGTCACCCTTGTATCGTTCCCTCCTCTCGTCTTCTTGGGCTTATGAGTGTGACAGAGTGTCTGGGTGACTTTTTTATGACTTGAAGGATCTTTTCGAGAGAGGTCTTGGATGCTTGGATTCGTGATGATCGAGCTAAATTTGAGTTTCGAACAGAGAAATGAAAGGTGGAAAATCTTCGTTGTAGTATTGCGTTACGTTTAAGAAGCTCTATCGCACTCGATTTTTAGCAAGGTCTATCGCTCCCTGATAGGATTACGTGACGTTTAACGAAGGTCTATCACACGAGATTTAGGAAGGTTTATCTCTCTAGTATCTTGATTACAATATATAGCTCGTGAAGGTCTATCGCACTGGTCGACGGCACCCGTCACTTTAAAGTGAAGTCCCCCGGGGCTGTATTGCTTCGCTGCTGTAAACGGCACGGATGATCTCCGAAGTGCACGTACAGGGGGTCCAGGAGTACAATGCTGGAGATGCCGGCAGTAAT